GACTGAGCCACCCAGGCGCCCCTAAATAAATAAAATCTTAAAAAGAAAAGAAAACTCTGGTATTTCTGAGGTTCCATAAAATAGGTGCTGTGACAATTCAGAGGGATGGGCCCAGACAAGAGTTAATAATCGCTCTGAAGTCTAACTGCCAGAAGATCCACATATGTGTTATATGCTGTAAATAAATACTTCTTTTTAAAGTAAAGATAAAATGAAATTTGCTTTTATCTCAGCACACTAGGATAAAAATAAAGTTCTTTCTTTCAAGGTACAAAACTGTAACAGTAGTCTTCACCACAAGATGTCACTATTGCCCAAGAGCAATATTACAAAATGCCTTGTATTTTTATGCTGAGTAGCTTACCTTAATATCTTTTAGAGAGACAAACTTCTCGATACCCAATTCAATCATATCCAGCACATGGTAGTCATACATACGACCTAGAAGGAACACATTTTCTTTTAAACATTTATTTTTCCCAAACAGCCACCTTATATGTACCCACTTAATCTGCATGTTCAAAATGTTAGTCTCTGCCTCTTTTTTCCCCTCACACCCCACCAAACACATCCCCTCTTTCTTAAACTTTCAACTCTATCTAGAATAGATTGTTACAATCTTGGCCTGAAAGAATCTTGGAAATTACTGAGCCAAACTCCCTGATTTTATATAAGAGTAAATAAAGGCCCACAGAAGGAAAAGGGCTTGCCTACACCAGTGACCATGCCAGACCAAGTGCAAAACTTACTAGGGAAGGGTTCATTTATGTGGGTAGGTATGCTACTTTGTGTTTTTTTCTCTAACACAGATTTAAGGTACATATATTTTATATCAGGAAAGTAGCTGCAACTTTATTTAGGTAAAGTAATATTTACATGCCTATTGTTTACTTGCAATCTGGTAGATAAAAACTTTTATTCAAAGTCACAAGGAAAATTTTAAAAAACTAGCTTAGAGATTACTTGTTACTCCTGAATCCTCAACACATCAATTAATCTGAGTCACAAAACTGACTCTGTAAATAACAATATTAGAAAGTAAGTGATAGGGGCATGTGGGTGGCTCAGCTGGTTAAGAATCTGCTTTTGGCTTGGGTCATGATACCGGAGTCCCAGGATCGAGCCCCACATCAGGGTCCCTGCTCAGCAGGGAGTCTGCTTCTCCCTCTCCCTTTGCCCCTCCCCCTGCTCCTTCTCTCTCTCTCTCTCGCTCACTCACTCAAACAAATAAATAAAATCTTAAAAAAAAAAAAGAAAGTAAATAATATTTACCTATTACTAGATTATTTGGCCGCTTCTTATTATGGGAGCCAAACATAAATAAAGAACAATCTGACTTCTTTGAAAAGAATTCCTATAAAACCAAAAAAACTCTAATTAGTGCATTAATATAAGAACTTTAAGAATCATACCTCTGAACTTTAAAAAAAAGTAATGAATACTTAATGAACTAGACAGGAATAAACAGAGGAAAGGGACTTTATTTCTCGCTTTTTACTTCAATTTTTCTGATTTGGGGTACCTAGGGATAAGAAATAAGTTTAAGACTAAAAATATGTTGAAAAGTTTAAGTTAATAAATAAAATGAGACTATTTATTCTCACCAATGCAGTTTTGAAACAGCACACTAAGTATTTCATTTGCTGAACAAATGCCTTTATTCATTAGACATTACTGCTACCATCAATGGTACATCTTACCATGCATTTAAAATACACATGAATAGGGGCACCTGGGTGGCTCAGTCGGTTAAGCCTACAACTGTTGTTTTTTTAGGATTTATTTATTTATTTGAGAGAGAGAGAGCGAGAGCACAAGCAGGGGGCAGGGGCAGAAGGAGAGGGAGAAGCAGACTCCCTGCTAAGACCAAAGCCCAACGCGGGGCTCAATCCCAGGACCCCAAGATCATGACCTGAGCCAAAGGCAGCAGCTGCTTAACCAACTGAGCCACCCAGGAGGCCCTAAGCCTCCAACTCTTGATTTCAGCTCAGGTCATGATCTCGTGTCAAGCTCTGTGCTTAGCAGGGTGTGGGTATGGAGCCTACTTTAAAAAAAAAAAAAAAAGTTTCTTAAGTGTCCAAATAAATTCCAAATAAATGAAAATGCTTTCTTAAAATGTTTTTCTTTTTACATTCTCTTACTATGACTAACACCCCGAAGCTATTCATGAACTACCTTTCACATACATATATAGTACTCATCTCTACTGTTCTTCTCCATAAAAAGTCCACTTTTTGTTAAAATTCTAGAGCAAGCATAGTCAAATTATCTGCAAAAGGCCAAATAGTAAATATTTTTAGGCCTTTTACATGCTTTTATAAAGAAACCCTTTAAAAATACAAAAACCATTCTTTATGGCTCTCACAGAAACAGGGATTTGACCCACAGGAGGTATATTTGCCAACTCTTGTTCTAAAGCACAGTTCCAAAATTGTAAGAAATGTGCTACTGAAAAAAAAAAAAAGAAGTGCTACTGGAGGGATACATGGTCAGGAGAAGGAATTCAACCACATTTCCAACATGACCACTGTTTCCACAACTATTGTGAGCTTTAGTAGTCTGAGATTTTCTCCATCCAATGAAATATCTCCTATCTCTGGATGTGGGATATCAAAGAGAGGAAAGTCACAATTTCAAATGTAAGAAAAACTGTCATATCAAAACGAGATTGACAAAGAAGTACAGAGGGGCTCCTGTTGGCTCAGTCAGTTAAGCGTCTGCCTTCGGCTCAGGGTCCTGGGATGCGGCCCTGCATCAGGCTCTCTGCCCAGCAGGGAGTTCTCCCTCACCCTCTGCCATCCCCTCCCCTTGCTTGTGCTCTATCAAATGAATAAAATCTTAAAAAAAGAAAAAGAAGGGGTGCCTGGGTGGCTCAGTTGGTTAAGCCACTGCCTTCGGCTCAGGTCATGATCCTGGAGTCCCGGGATCGAGTCCCGCATCGGGCTCCCTGCTCAGCGGGGAGTTTGCTTCTCCCTCTGACCCTCCCCCTTCTCATGCTCTCTCTCTCTATCTCATTCTCTCTCTCAAATAAATAAATAAAATCTTTAAAAAAAAAAAAGAAAAGAAAAAGAAGTACAGAATGCTACAGATTCTACATCACAACACTGCTACAAAGTGGTCACTCAACCAAAAAGCATCATGGTGCCAAAACAAAGCAAGCCCTTGATAAGCAGTATATGAAAGAGACAGAATTTTGGATTAGAGCCCTTATTTTCAATTTCACAATCTCTTCAACAATGACTGTGAAAAACCCAAGACTATAATGAAAGTAATTTTGTAAAAAACTGAATACTGGGATGCCTAGGTGGCTCAGTTGGTTGAGCATCTGCCTTTGACTCAGGTCATGGTCCCAGGGTCCTGGGGTCGGGCTCTGCATCAGGCTCCCTGCTCAGTGGGGAACCTGCTTCTCCCTCAGCATATCTCCCCACCCCACTCCTCATTCTCTCTCTCCCTCTCAAATAAAATCTTTTTTTAAAAAATTTTTAAAGGGGCACCTGCATGGCTCAGTTCGTTAAGTGTCTGCCTTCGGCTCAGGTCATGATTCCAGGGTCCTGGGATCAAGCCCCACATCAGGCTTCTTGCTCAGTGGGGAGTCTGCTTCTCCATCTGCCCCTCCCCCTGCTCATGCTCTCTCTCTTTCCCTCCCTCTCTCTCTCAAATAAATAAAATCTTTAAAAAAATATTTTTAAACCCTGAATATTGATTTTTCTTAATATAATTTTCAATGCAGTCAGTTGCTACATTAGGAGAAAATGTTCATTTTTAGCCTTCTAATTAATTACTGAGATTCTATTCAAAAGTTCTTTCTTTTAAATTCACTAACTAGGGGCGCCTGGATGGCTCAGTCAGTTAAACATCTGAGTCTTGATTTCAGCTCAGATCATGATCTTAGGGTCCTGGAATCGAGCCTCATGTCAGGATCTGCTCACTCAGCGGGGAGTCTGGTTAAGGATTCTCTCCCTCTCCCTCTGCTCTTCCCCCTGCTCATGTGCACGCATGTGCATGTTCTCTTTCACTCTCTAAAATAAATAAATCTTGGGGTGCCTGAGTGGCTCAGTTGGTTAGGCGTCTGCCTTCGGCTCAGGTCGTGATCCCAGGGTCCTGGGATGGAGCCCCGCATCGGGCTCCCTGCTCTGTGGGAAGCCTGCTCCTCCCTCTCCCACTTCCCCGCTTGTGTTCCCTCTCTCTCTTTGTCTCTCTGTCGAATGAATAAATAAAATCTTTAAAAAAAATAAATAAATAAATAAAATAAATAAATAAATAAATCTTTAAAAAATAAATAAATTCACTAACTAAAAGGAAAAACAAGTAATGGTGTTCCCCTCAAGAGAACATGATCCCATTCTGATTTTTTTTCAGTATCTTTTAATCTTTTTTTTTTTTTTTTAAGTAAGCTCTATGCCCCATGTGAGGCTTAAACTCACAACCCAGAGATCAAGAGTCACACGCTCTACTGACTGAGCCAGCCAGGCGTCCCCCATTCTGACTTTTTTTAAGTTAATTTAGTTTAAACCACTTATTCTTTTAAGGTTTTCTTTAGAAAGAAAGCAGTATCATCACATACCCAAAGTCCATTCATCATTCACCATTTATTATATACCATCCTTTAGCTTCTGATTTTATTCACTAGTCTTTTTCATTTAGTTTGGTTGCCAATACACTCAAACAGGAATTTGATTAGTAAAGCAACTGACAATTGTTAGCAATAATTCACGTAGCATTCCTTGTTCTAAAAATATCCAAAGAAATAAGTCAAATTTTTAAAAATCAAACTTGCTTTATAAAAATAGACCTGTAACAAGCTTCCTTTTGATAATTATTAATTATGCACATAAAATATAATTCAACTTTTAAAAATTCTGTCGATAGGGCGCCTGGGTGGCTCAGATGGTTAAGCGTCTGCCTTCGGCTCAGGTCATGATCTCAGGGTCCTGGGATCGAGTCCCGCATCAAGTTCCCTGCTCAGTGCAGAGCCTGCTTCTCCCTCTCCCTCTGCCACTCCCTCTGCTTATGCTCTTCTGTCTATCTCTCTGTCAAATAAATAAATAAAATCTTTAAAAAAAATAAAAAATAAAAATTCTGTCGATATACTTACAAGCAGTGAATAATACTGGCAAAGTAAAATATAAGATCTATAGTCATATTTTTGAAAGTATGAAAGTCTTATTTCAAAATAATAAATAAATGTCTTATTTCCCCTCCAATTTACATTAAAATTCCCTCATATAGGATGATTTCTAATTCAGAAACATCACAAATTAGGAATACTAAAGGAGCAGTGATTAGTCTGAATAATCATTTACATGCTCTCTTAAATCAGAAAGATGCTTGGGGTGCCTGGTTGACAAAGTCAGTTAAGCGACCGACTCTTAGTTTCAGCTCAGGTAGTGATCTCAGGGTCCTAGGATCAAGCCCCATGTTGGGCTCCACACACAGCACGGAGTCTGCTTGAGATTCTCTCTCCCTCTTCCTTTGCCCCTCCCCTCACCACATGCACGCTCTCTCTCTCTAAAATAAATAAACTTTGAAAAAAAAAAAGATTCAGGGTGCCTGGGTGGTTCCATCGCTTAGTGTCTGCCTTCAGCTCAGGTTGTGGTCCTAGGGTCCTGGGATCAAGCCCCACATAGGGCTCCCTGCTCAGCGGGAAGTCTGCTTCTCCCTTTCCCTCTGCTGCTCCCCCTGCTTGTGCTCTCTCGCTCTCTGTCAAATAAATAAAATCTTTAAAAACAAAAAAAAAATTCTTGTACTCACCAACGATGTCTGATCCTCAAATGGTCTTGTAATGTTTTTCCTAAGAATATTTTAACAGGTGACCTTAATTTTAATAACCTTAATAGCAATTCACCCATAACAATTAAGTAATATATTAAATAAAGATAATTTTATATTCAGATGATCAAAAATAAAGCTGGAGGGATATTCATTCATTCAAATATGTATTTAGTGCCTGTTACGTACAGGCACTGTTGTAAGAGCTAAGGATCCTGGAAAACAAATCAGACCCTTGCTCTCATGGAGCCTACATTCTAGTGAAAAAATAAAAATTTCAAAAGTAACTGTAGTGACAAAAATAAAATAGGGTATTCTATTAGTATGAAGAGTAGAAAATGACTATTTGAGCTGAGATCTGAGAGATAAGCAATAAGCCACTGAAAAGTTTTGAGGCTAAGAGTATTCTAGGAAGAAGGAACAGAATAAGCAAAGATCCTGAGATGGAAACAAGCTTAGACTATTCAAGAAATGGAAAGAAGGCAAGTGTCACTGAAGCTTAGTGTGCAAAGGGAAAATGGTGGGGCATAAGGCCAAAGATGAAGACATGGCCCAGATTATGTAGGGCCTTGTTGATCAAGATAAGGAATGTAGATATTAATAAAGTAACAGGAAGCATTGAAGAGTTTCAGGCAGGAGTGGTAAGATCAGACTAAAATTTTCTTTTTATTTATTCATTTATTTGAGAGAGAGAGCACAAGCAGGGGGAGGGGCAAGGGAGAAGCAGACTCCCCATTGAGCAAGGAGCCCAATGTGGGGCTCGATCCCAGGACCCTGGGATCATGACCTGAGCCGAAGGCAGCTGCTTCACAAACTAAGCCAACCAGGTGCCCCTAAAATTTT